TCTTCGAAGAAGCGTGCTTTTCCGAAATCGATTTTGGCCTTCAGGTACTCTGTGCCGCGCTGCGTTTGTTTTAAGCACGAGCACCATTTTTCGGTCGTAGCTGGTCAGGTATTTGCCGTTGGGCAGGGTTTGGCTTGGAATTTGCTTTTGCACTTCAGCTTCCAGATTTTCGAAATGCTGCTTCATTTCGGGGTCCATTTCCAATGAAATGGTGGCACGCTTTGGGTCACGGGCCTCCGGGTGAGGGCCGGGCTTCCACAGGACGCGCAGGTAGTTTTCCGACATCCACGTGACAGGCGCTCCTACATGAGTTTTGATGGGTAGGATGGTGCTGCCATTCGCAAGACGCGCCGCCTTGTCCACGACAACGCTGGCTGGATTTTGCATTTTTGCTGGCGGTTTTATAGTAGGGGGCGGGCATTTTTTGTGGTCCGAGCACGGGTGCCTGGATGTAGGTTGGGCTGAACGGGCGTTCTGCCGCCCCAGGGTCCTACAGTGGTAGACTTGACAAAGACGACGACGCGACGACGACGACGACGACGACGCCTCAGCGCAAGTAAAACCCCCCAGGTTCTCCCAAAAAGAACCCCTAAAGTGCATTTCATGCGGGTTACTTGCATTTTGGCATGGTATTTGCGTGGTTTTGCATGTCTTGCGCTTGTTTTTGGCATGGATTTTTGGAGCGGCTTGCATTTGGCATGATTTTTTGATTTGGCGTGATTTTGCATGCGTTTTGCTTGATTTTTTGGCATGGCATGCTTGGTTTTCTTGCTCTTGCTTTTGGCATGCAGGAGCGCGACAGCATGAACAGGCAACGGAGAAACAATACTTTGATTCCGAAGAGGGAGCCGAGCTACCACAATTAAAGAACGCAGCAAGCACACAAGCCCTGACACAGGGAGGTAGTGAGCAAGCGCCGGGGACCACAGAGGCTTCAGGGGTGTTTCGAGTTTGCAGGCGGTTGGGGCTCTGAGGCAGCCAGGTCTGCAAGTTTGCGTGCTGCAAGGCTTCAGGGAGTTGCAGGTGGGTTGGGGCGAGGCAGTGAGGTTGTGTCGTGTTGCGCTGCCAATTCCCTTCTTGTGATTGTAGAGTTCCTTGCGCGCCCCCTTCCTGTAATTCTAGAGTGCCCTGGGCCCCTTGTTTACGTTCAGGTCCCCTTCGCCATCTTCATCTTTGACGAACGCCGGAGACTGCAGAGGGTTCAGGGTTGCGGTTGCAGGTGGTTGGGGCTCTGAGGCAGCGAGGTTCTGACTGCAAGGTTTCGGGGTTCGGGGTTGGTTGGCAGGCAAGTGGGCTCCGAGGCAGTGAGGTCTGGTCTGTGCATGCTCAGGAGTGCCTTGCGCTGAACCCCGCCTTCCCTTGTAAGCTAGAGTGTTTGTGCCCCGCCCTCCCTCGTAAGCTACAGTGCGGCCAGGTGCTCATCGTGACCTTCGTTTTCGCTGCAAGTCGTGCCCTTTGTTTGTTAGCTCTCTGCACGCGCTGCTCTGAAACCCCTCTTCCCCAAATTCTTGCCCAGCTGGCAGTTCACCTGTTTGCACACGCGCAACCTCCCAAGCCTCCCGTGCCCAGGTTTGGCAGCCGTCTTGCTTTGCGCCAGGCTCTCTGAGTGACAAACTGCAAGCGCTCTGAGGCCCTGAGCGCTTTAGGACCTCTTCCCTCACGTGAGTGCCCGAGTGAAGGTGAAACTCCTGGGCGGGGGGAGGCCGCGGTGAAGGTGAAACTCCTGGGTGGGGGAGGCCGGGGTGAAGGTGAAACTCCTGGGCGGGGGAGGCCGGGGTGAAGGCGATCTTTTGGGGTTTAGTTTAGGATGCCACGCAGAGCCCCAAACTGCAACATGACGTTGCTGGCATAGGAAATTGCCAAGGGTTTTTTTGGCAAAATTTCCTTTCCAGCACACAGTTAAAAGAGCTGGCCCGCCAGCACAAAAGATCTGCGAAATCGAGCGCGGTACATTACAGGGCTGGCGGCTGGCGTGGGGGGAGGCCGCTTCACCCTGGGCTCGCGGGCCGGGGATTTCACCCTTCACCCTGGGGTCGCGGGCCAGGGATTTCACCCTTCACCCTGGGGTTGCGGGCTGGGGATTTCACCCTTCACCCTGGGGTCGCAGGCTGGGGATTTCACCCTTCCCCCTGGGGTCGCGGGCCGGGTTTTGGCGTTTCGGGGCGCTTTTGAGAGTGCTCAAGAATCCCAGAACCCTAAAGGCCCTAAAGCCCCAACCCCAAAGAATGAAGCAACGATAGAAAAGCAAACCACTTGCTCATTATCTTCTGTGTGGAGAGTCTTGACTGCAGCCTCCTGCTCAGTGACCCCGTCGCTAGATGGCACCCTCGGTCTTCATGAAACTTGTTTTGGCCAACATCGCGGGCGGCGCCACTGCAGACAACATTGACCACCTGATCCAGCAGCAAGTGTACCTCCACCAGTGCCTGGCTCGCAATCTTAACGACACAGCTTGGTCGCGGATAGAGTGCCACATTCGGCTGGACCTTCGCACGGGAAAGGACTACTGCAGCGGCGCCATGCACCTCCGCCAGCGCAGGGTTTGCGCGCACACATCACGGCATGGGGAGCTCAAGATGGGGGCCCCATACTGGCAAATGGGTCGCCCATTCCTCCATCCGTCTCAGCCGTCGGTTTATTGCGTGGAGGCAGACTCAGTATCGATGTGCAAGCTTGCCAGCGGCCACTTTTCGCTGAAGGTTTGCCCATTCCGCTACTTCTCGCAGCCCTTGGGCACACAGGCGTTAACCACCACATTGCGGCGGAAAGGGCGAGCCTTGCGAGATGTTGTGGAGTCTCTGGAGGGCACAGCTACCCTGGCCGTGCAGCTGGCACACCAGCTACTCGAAATCGAGCGTATCCCCGCGTCGCTACCCGATGTTTGGGATGGGATGACTTTCGCGTTCCGAACTGCCGACAGTGAGGAAGCAGAGGCTCTGTTTGGTGAGACCGGGGTGGTCACTGGGTTTGCTAGGGGTCTCTTCTTTGTGCTAAAGGAGTTGGCTTGGATTGATGTGGGGGAGTGGACCCCAGAGTTGCTCTACCAGTTGCACTCGGTTGTGTGTCCGCAGCTTGGCGCGAGGACCGAGCACATGAGCCACGGAGAGGATACGGTTCCGCCCTTGGGGATCGAGGTGCCTGCGCTTGTTGACTCATTCCTCCAGTGGCTCCGAAGACTTCACCACAAGAGTTGTGCCGACAGGGTGGTGGTGGCGCTGCAAGCCAGTCTTTTTCTGGGGTGGATCCACCCCTGGCGAGGCTGCAACGGCCGGACAGCACGACTGGTGACGTCGGCCCTCCTGATTCAAGAAGGGGTTGTGCCGGCCTTCTTCAGTTTAGGTCGTGGCGAAGCAGCTCTCGAAGCTCATGTCTTTGTGCAGAACAAGTCGTACTATGGAGATGCTTCAACATACATCGACGGCATGCTGAATCAGCTCAATCTCAGCGCCGAGGTGTTTCAGACATTTGTGCTGAAGGCCAACCCACGTGCCATTGCAAAGATGAAGCCCCCCCCGCCAACGTGGGCGGGTGCGTTTGGACGCACAAGTCGTCCAGATCCCGATGTGTAGCGGAACGAGAGCAGCGTGCGAAGGAAACTGTGTCTTGTCCGGGCTGTTCGGTTGTCTTGGCACTGCCTATGTGTTTGTAAGCTGCACAATTTCGGGCGCAGCGCCTGGCTCAGGTCATTTAGACGTTCGACCCTCCAGTCAATGGAAAGGGAATTGAGGCTTTGAGACTGTTCATCAATGCTTCTGCCAATGACACAGGTAAAGCAATGTAGAAATACGCCAAGGTCAATGTTTCGTGTCGAATGTGTGTGAATGGACCAAGTTTGACGCGTCTGCAAAACAATCCTCTTTTCTGCCACATGACTTTCCTGGCTGTTGTTTGATAGAACTACTGAAAGCTTGGAGCAACGTCAATACCAGCAGTAACTGCTGCTTGAATCTGCGCTCGCGCAAATTTAACAATGCACAGTGGTGCATGCTCCCTGAATGGTTGTAAGTCAATTCGGAGGTTGACTCGCACCCAGCCATTGTTGATGATCCAACTGAATGTGGCATTGATGTCTGGTAGCTCCAATGTAATCCTTGCAATGTTTTTGCACAATTCCGCATGCTTGGAGTTGGCTTTGCGCAAATTGGCTTACTGCTTCAGACAAAATTGGGCATGAAGCTTTCCACCGGTGCCCTGCTGCCCTGCGCACTAGATGAAGCATCTCTCGAAAGTGCGTATCTTGTGTCAAAGATCATAAGAAGGGTCAATTAATTGAAGTTCTCTAAGAGAACTTTGAAGAGGTTCAAACTCTTCAACACTCGAGAATTCTCGAATAAATTTGAAAAAGAGTTGAAGGGGAAACTTAAAAGGAAAGATTTCTGAAAAAGCTTCAAGAAGTCTAATCAGTTTTTGGAAACACTTGGTCTGGACGAGAGTCCGAAGCAGCCGACTCTGGAGGAGCTTCGAATCTTGCGCTGAAAGGAAACCCAAAAAGTTCGAAGTAACCGAAGAAACCGCCAAAGTGTTGAAAGCCCTGTGATCTGGGCGCTGGAAGTAGCTTAGACGACCTTGGCACAGCTGCCACGATTTCCGTTTTGCGAAATTTCAAGTTATGCGACATGAAGCCATGATTCGTGCTGTTCGAAAGCAGAAAAACAAATTCATTGGTGACCAACTACTCAGTATGAGCCGTGGCCACCAAGATTCGAACCCAGCTGCACCGATTAATGTGAAAATACATCATGGCTCTCTTAAGGTACTCTTCCAAACTTGCACTTGCTGCGGCTGCCCCACTCTAGCAAACGTTGGTTCTGACAGAGCGAGAAAGAGAGAGAGAGAGTAAGAGGTTCGGTCAGAAAAAAGCGCTGGCTTCATCCGGCACCCTTCATCTCCCTCTGTATTCTCTCTCTCTTTGTTCTCTACTGGCTCTCGACTCTTTATGCACTGTGTTGGGCTCTGCTCGTCCACCTGGATAAAGGCTTCCAGAGAATTGTGAAGAACGCGAGGAAACTGGAAACTTTTAAGGTTTTTACCGCACAGACGTTAAAGAAGGCACCTGGCTTTGTTTGACAGTCCAAACTTTCGCGCTGGCTCTGCTGGAGCAGAAACTCCAAAGTGATGAAACTTTTGATCAAGGTTCCCGTCTTTCCCCATGAAAGACGCAACGATATTCTCGTCCTGAAGAGTCTCAGTCGCACTGACCAGCCAGTTCGAACAGTGATGGTCCTGCAAAACGTGGTTCTGAGTTCTGTTGGGTTCCAGACTTGTCACGATGAAGGGTGCCCAGAGGAAGCCTCTTCTTAGCAAATTCCGAATAAGCATGCTTGACAGATGTCATCAAGGCAAGAAAAAAACCTGCTCTTCAGTGTTTGAGCAGTTGTTGGCAAGGTGATTGAAACTTCACTCCCTTTGTAGGGCATGTTTTCCTCTGCCTGAAACTCTTTTGTTTACAAAAATGGAAGTCCAGAGTTGGTCCACATTGCCAGCCATCTTATTTCCTCAAAAAAAACATTCTTCATTTCCTTGGAGCTGCACTTCAACAAGCTCCAGAAAAACAGGCAGTTCGCCAGACACAGCTGCGGTGCCATTGCCTATCGAGCCGCCGAAGAAGGTAGATCAAGTGGAAAGTGCGGAACCGGCATTTGACGCTTTGTACTGAATTTCATCCAGTGTTCTGGTTTTGACTTGTTTTGTTCAGGCCTTCTAGCCTTCCAGTCAAACCTTCATCATTACCTCGAGACAAACTTGGCAAGAAGGCTGAAGGGCCTTTTCTTTGGTGTCGAAGTCGATCGGCTCAATTCCAAAAAGAAGCCGCTGAAGACGGGCCAACGATCGAAGGTCGCCACAATCCTGAAACGTTGCAACCTGATGTAGTCATGTTTCGTTTTCTTTTAACTTTTTCCAACATGCTATGCTTCATCAGCAAAGGCACCAAATGGCTCTGATGGACGGAGTCGTGCTCGGAAGCTCCGCAAAGCGCAGCAGTGTTGGAGTCTGTCCGAAAAGTGCCAGCGCGGCGACAAACAACGATGCTTGTTCATCAGGATCTCACTGATTTCAATCTCAATCTTAGTTTGATCTTCATTCGGGGTACTTGCAGCTTCCTGGTTTGAATTTGAGCTTGGCAGGTGGCTTCATTGGTTCCTGAATCCCCAAGACCCGACACCCTAAACCCGGCTGGTGGTTTCAGGGTTCGGGAAGCCAGTCAGAGTTTGGTGGGGGTGGACGGGTTTAGCTTTTCCATGGAATCTTTTTCCATGGAATCTTTTTAGAGTGTGGCTCAACCTTAATGGTAGTTTTCCCATGCATCCTAATTCCCAAAGCCCAAAACTCCCGTCACCCCACAACATCTCAAAAGAATGAAAACCCCATCCTCCTTCCATCTAAGGTCGGGCCGTCGCCGTGATTCAGTGCGGAGAAAAAAGTCCCTGGTGTCGCTTGAGTGTGGTGACATGGGAAGTCTATATAGCATTAATATAGTATGTATGTTGTGTCATCACCATTTAAAAATTAGAAGTTTTGAATGCCTGGCATTCGAACGCCTAAGTTCAACCCTGCCTCACGCCTTTTGCCTTGACTTTGCGCTGCTGAGGATGGCTAGTTCTGTACATATCTAGCCGGATAGGACAATTGTGCATCATCACGCGGCTATTGCACATGTTTCAACTTTGCAGCAACTCTTCGAAGTTGTTTTTTGAAAAGTAGCTTTCTTGCATATTTCTTGAGCAGCTTGAATGATGTGCTTCGGACCGAGTGCAGCAGCTGCTGCCACAAGGGTCGAAACACGCTAAAGAGTAAGCTCTAGATTGGATACTGCCCCCACTCAGTAACAGTTGGATAATATTCATAATATGCCCTTAATAATAGCCCTACTATAGACTGTTACTGTATGGGGGCAGTACCCAAGCTGTAGAACAAAAACCTCCGAGATGGCACGCTTACAGTGCAGCGGATGATTGGAACGATAACAGAGCAGTGCCCGGCATCAGTAGTTCAAAGCAGTCGCGTGTACCTGTACACTTTAGGTGAACTTCAGTTCTCTTCGAAGACTAAGAAAAGATCAGTCAACAGCTCAGACACACCGTGGTGGAAACTACATGCGCAACTGAAGACTTAAATGTGTATGTGTTCGTGCGTACGTGTGTGCGGAAAAGTTTGCGTACATGTTTTGCTGGACTGGCGAGATTTTCCGTGTGGATAACTAGTTGCTGATCGAGCGCCGCAATCGCCGTCACGGACTCCGTATGTCCCTCTTGCGGGCCGATCAACCTGTTGCAGGCTTTGAAGACGCGTTGCACGTCCATCCTGAAATACGTGTGCATTTGACTCAGTTGACCACACGCGGAATTTTGACTAGCCGCAGGCGAGCGTCCTTGATGGAAGGATGGGCACTCCGTGCACGGTTGCAGCGTCTTGCTGACCACCAGCACAGTTGCTAGCTCCGTTCATATACGTGATCGTGTGCGTCGGAGCGTCGAGACTGACGCCTAGCACCCCCCGCACCACAGGCTGTTGCCTGATTTCGATAGCGTGTCCCATCGAAACATGCGCCGATGCAAAGCAGAGCGCACAACAAAGAAAGGGTCGTTTAGACGAGCCAACGCACCGAGGATGTTGAGAGAACTTCGTTAGGATGTGCGGACGGCCAAGATGGCAATCAGGCCAACTACTAGCCGCTAGTTACTAGCCCATCAATGTCAGCCAGCAATCGATTCGCACTAGACGGTTTCTTTGCGCACTTGTGGAATTGCGACCATGAGCAAGTACCATCCGGGGCATGTCAGACTGGTGCTCCAGCCAGACTTGCGCTGGAAGCTGCAGGTATCAGGTCCGACAGTCCGACAGGGTTCGAATCAGCCGCAGGAATCGGCTCCATGATTCAGATCACAGGATGAGACCAATCAGGTCAGGAAGCCATAGAGCTTGGGGTTTCGTGGGTGACCATTGTCGGGTTCATGGGCTCCTTGTGTCCCTGTGTCTGCCTTTGTATTGTTTTGTCTCCCTTCATATGTCCCTTTGTGACCCATTACTGGCTCCTTGTCGCCCTATGTCTCCCTTTGGGTGGCCATTGCCGAGTTCCTGGGCTCCTTGTCTCCCTTGGTCGTACATGTGGGTATACGTATATGTGTATACGCATATGTGTATACATATGTCATATGTATGTGTATATATATACATATCAACATAAATGTATATGTATATATATATGTATGTATGTATGTATGTATGTATGTATGTATGTATGTGCGCACGCACACACACACACACACCCCACACACACAAGACACACACGCACTCGCACACATCTCTATTATATTGTGAATTACAGTTGACATTTTATGTATACTATAAAATAATACTTAGTTCTTAAGTGGTTTATTTTTTTCCTTTTGTTTTCCGGGCTTGTATGGGTAGTTTGTAAGTGGCTCAGAGATACAACACTCACATAGGTCTTGCGGCCTGCACTGCCCATCCCTTGACGGGAAGTGTTCATGAAGATTACAGTCAAACTTGCAGCGCAAATCTGACTACAAAAGGATAAATCATGCAAACTCAACACGAATGTGCTCGG